AAATCAAAATAATTACTATATTTAAAACTATGTTTCAAAGTTAAATAAGGAAATCATTCTAATACCATTTCAATAACGTGTTGTTGCCTTTCTTCTGGGTCTTTAGGTAGAGCTGAAATTGGTGATCGAGATTTTGATGGCGTAGACTGAACATTTACTCGCAGTACAAATAAAGTTTTCTTCTCAAAAGATTCAGAGGGCTTGGAATCCATCCAAGAATCGAGACCAGTTTCTTTCTTGTATCTTTTATATAACTTGGAACGAATTTTGTCAGTTAAAACACTTGGTAATCCAGTAAATTTATTATTCTATTCCAATATTTGGGAGTTAATGTTTTATTGAACTTTGTCTGTATATTCATGTGTCATTTATGTAATTGCGCATCTCTTTAATTAACAATATTTAACAAAAAAAAATAAATATGCCTCAGAGAGACACCTTAAAGACTTAAGCGAATTGTGTCAATATATGACAAATTTCATGCCATTATCTCAATTTCAACTCCACGCTGTTCACATTTAATATAATAGGAACCAATTTCATATTTATCTTCTATATCTTCATCATCATTATGATCTAATTTGCATAAAGGACATAGTGTCTTATCAGTAATTTTGTAATAATCTACATTTTCACTATTACTATCTTTATATAAATTAGGATACTGTTCTAGTGTTTTATTACGAAAATAAGTACGGTCATGAGTTGGATTAGACGATGCACTTATCTTAGTCTCCAGTAAAGATTTGTCTTCCGAATTAGAGGTATGAGACAATGAGATAGATGTAGTTGATACGCTTATCTTAGTTTTTGATGTATTTTCTTCAGACAAGATTTTATCATTAGTTTCAGAAATTTCAGTCATATGACCGCATGTCCCAGAGATGCAGGGTTCATGTCTATTGAAATAATCTATAATATATTGAATTTGAGGGTTAGTGAGTTTTGATATCCCATTTGCGCTATAAGATTTAACTCATTTGATCTTTTCTATTCCTATGCCGTCAAATAACTTATAAATTTTACAAGCTCTTTGAGTTTGTCTGCAGAAATTTTCACGTAAGACGCCGGAAAGACGATTCCAGATTTCATCATAAATCTGAATTCTTGCTAAGTTATCCGCTCTTTTAGTATTTTTGCAATTAGATAAGACATCATAAAATCTTTTTTCAAAGCTTTTTGCATAATGATACCAACTTAAAATTTCTTCTTGCTTAGCGTGAATAGTATTCTTTTTAGCCTTTCTTGTATTTTGATACATATAGGCCAGTTCAATAGCTTCATTTTCAGTGTTATCAAGTATACCCTGCTCTCTATTTCTGTTAGTAACTTCGATTGATTCCAAGTCAAATTCCAAACTCAACTCTTGTATAAATTTTTGCATCTCAATTCAGCTATCTTTCTGAATTGAATCATTTGTAGTTATATTGGCAAGAAATATAGAATCATATGAATTTTCATTCATATGAGGGTGAGTCCTGGGGTTGCACAGTTGATATTCAGTCATAATATTTTGACTACAGCTTAGATTTCTGTTTTCATTTTTTGTGCTATTGTCTTGTTGCAATTCAGATATTCAGTTTTTGAAAAATCTGGCTCTACTAAAATCGCATGAATTTGATTGTTCCCTGATAAGTCTTGGGTTTTATTTTTAAAGGACTACATAAAAGTTTTTTCTTTCTGTTTCTCTGTTTTATTTCATTACTAACATTTTTCTTATATACCCTTTTTGCAAATTCAAGGGTCTTAGCTGAATCGTCATCGGCATTTGCCAGCATGTTAATGTCTTCCAGTAAAGAGGTTGTAGATACTTTAGGTTCTGTTAAAGATTCAGATTGTGTTGAGCTATGTTCTACTTCAAACAAGAGATCAGAATTAATATCTTTCTTCTTATCAGACTGCGAAATAACTTCAATAGGAGATGCAACATATTTGTCAGTATTAACTCTGGTTTGTAATTTGATTTCCAAAATGTCACATCTTAATTTTGCTACTTTAGCTTTTAGATTGGCATTCTCTTTATCGCTTTGCTCTAGTTTTACAAATCTGGCCTCAATTTCTTCTTTATTTTGTTTTAATTTTGCATTCTCAGCTTTAACTTTGATATTCTCAGCCTCAACCTTAGCGAACTTCTTTCTAAGTTCATTGATCTCGACCACAAGCATGGAATTTAATTCTCTTAACAAAGCAATTGTAGTTTGTAAATCTGCTATTTTTAACATAAAATGTAGATATATTCAAAATAAAAATATTATGTGTCCATTCCAATTTATAACAATTTCTGATCATATGTGAGTTAATATACATCGATAACAATACAATAAAATAAAATCCTGAAATATACATGCAAAAGTAAATGTGATTATATATGCGAAATCGGCCACTAGAGCCAGCTTTATTGATATAAATAAAAATACAATATAATTATGTTCTAAAAAATGTACTATTCTTTTTTTAATTTCCCGTTTCTATATGAGAAAGGGTTTATATCATTCACCTCTAGATATTTTTTGAATTGACAATACTTTGCGCATTTACGATCATTCCATTCTAAAAATCGAGCATTAGCATTATAATTTTGTTTTATAATATTTATAAACAATAAATACTTACTTGTAAAATCAATAAGGCATATACAAATTCCTCAACTTCATTGGCTGATTCGTCTTCGAAAGGTATTTTTGCTCATGAAATGGGGAGGTAATATTTAATATCTTTTTCGCTTATCAAC